CTGTCTTGCTCTATTCTTGCCCTTCCTGCTGTGGCTCCATCCTGAGCCCGGAGACAGACAGCCGTGAGGACAGCAACCCACGGGATCATCTTCACTGAGCAGCTCCTCACTCCTCTTCCTCCTTCTACTCTGGCCTGGTTGTGTGGACTAAAGCCTTTCTACTTCCTTCTTCTCTGTTGTTGTTTTCTCTCTCTCTCTCTGTCTCTGTGTCTCTCTGTCTGTCTTCAGGTAAGCGCAGACAGGAGGCTGAAATGATGTAGAGTTTCTCCCAGATTTGGCACAGAGTGTTCTGGTGCTGAGCCAAGGACAGAGTAAAAGGGAGGCAAGAGAGTGCATTTAAGTATTCTGTTGCCTCTGGGGGAGGAGCTTTTTTTTTTTTTTTTTTTAATTGTACATCCTCTTTTTGTTTTTTTTTTTATTATTTGTGAAAGACACAAGCATACAACACAAAATAAAATAAAAAAGTTGTTTTTTTTTCTTTCACAGTTTCAAAATTACAATTTAAACTTCAATTTGTAGAACATCAACATCGTGTTTAACCAACTACACATTAAGGTGAAATTAAAAAAAAAAAAGAAAAAAAAAGTGTCACAGCGTTCCAAAGAAGTATTCAGGTGACATTGGAGAAAAAAAAAAGTCTAAAATGTTGAGAAGAGTCGTAAGTAAATGGGACTAAAGTCCGACAACAGTGAAAAGAAAAAATGTCCGATGTTGTACGCGAGTGTGAGTGTGGATCGAAATCATGTTATGAAAAAAGTCATAAATTTACAGAAAAAAGTGCTACTTTTTTGTAGTAACTGTAGGTAAATATTCAGAATAACTTTTAAAAAGGAAGCGCTACAGTATGTCCCTGCAGTTCCTTTACATGTACCAGCAGAGGAAGCGTCTCCCTAATTTTGAAACCAATGCTAAGGTACGTATAACTTTATAACTTCTTTTTTTTCAAGACTTCATTCATTTACGATTGTTGATTTCCACCTTTATTCTCATGAACCAATCGTTTTTTTCTGCAATAATTTGACTTAGTTCTTAATCTCATAAACGTACGACTAAGGTGCGTTGCATAATACGCTCTCATGTGAGATTATCTTTAGGGAACGCATTCAAAACAAGTGCATCTTATGACCTTTAAAGCTCTTTTATGATTTTAAATAAAGCACTTCCTCTTGGCTTTGTGTTCGGAGCACGTGCCCAAACATGACAAACACACCGTGTAATTGCTTATATTTCAAACAGTGGGAGGTAATTGAATAACCTCCAGTTAACCTGGGACCGCCATCTTTACAATGTTAAATCCAGGTTTGCATATTATAGCATGAGTCTGAATAAGCAGTTCACAAAGGCTGGGGGAAAAAAATCTCAGAATCCATCATGAGATTCCACATGTTGAGCATGAACTCATCTCTGACTCACTGAGCCAGAATTTTCCAGAAAACTTTCTGCCGTGATTTCACAGGAGTTCACTCCAAGACTGGAATTTAAATCTGATTCGGAAGAAGGTCGGTAAAAACTTCCAGAACATATTCAGATGAAAATTGTTCACATACCAGACTCTTACTTGACCCCGTTATGACTCTTTCAAGTTGTAGTTCATGGTTAGCCGATGTGCTAACAAAAAAAGTGCTAACTTCTGGAGATGGAAAACTACTATTCTGATTGAACATAGGAAATACAAATACAAATCAGTACAATTCAGCTCCGTGCCCCCCAATTTGAGAACCACTGCTCTAGATTACAGTTGCTAGACGACAATGCTAATTATATGCCTTGGTAAGCATTAGTGGTTAATATTATTTTCATGCATTTATTATATTCATTAAATATATTATTTATAAGTATTATAATATATTAATAAATAAAAACTATTAATATTAAAGTTTCACTAATGCTGCCATTAGTGTCGTTTAAACAAATTAAAAACGACAAAATAAATAAATAAAATTGCCAGTGGTAGTAGTAGTAGTCTACCACCAGGGGATGTTGTTGCCATTTTTAAATGACAGTCAATGGGAAAATAAGGCTAAATTTCAGGTTGCACTGGTAAAGGTAACTATAATAATAATTATTATTATTATTATTATTATTATTATTATTATTTTAACTGTCTCATGTTTTGCAGCATGTTCAAACAGCTGTTAAAGCAAAAGCAAATGTTTTTTTCTTTTTGTTTTTTTTCTTTTTTTATTGCAGACTTATCAACAACAAAACACAGGATGTGTGTGTGTGTGTGTGTCTGTTGCTCCTGAAAAACATCTCAGGGCAACATTTGACAAAAGCAAAAATATTCCCTTGAAATTGTAAAGGGACTCATGAGATGTTTTCTTTTACCTTTCTTTTTAAATGATAGGTGTAGTCTGGGTTTTCTAGGGAACTCGATAAAAGATCTGCTTCCTTCATGGAGACTTGACTTTTAAAAAGAGTTATCACGTGACCAACACCTGGGGCAAAGATCACCTGTCATTGTTATTTCTCCCCGCTTATGTTACTATTTCACTGACACCCGCGGTACCGAATAGGTGCCATTTGTGGCTTTTACTTTGGAGAAATGGCACCATCTGTCGGGATTATGTGTGTATTACAACACATAAACACAAGTGGTGAAATTGTGCTACTACGTTTATCCTCCTCTGATAATTTAATTAATTTTTAATTTTTTTTGGAGGCTTGAGCTCATCCCTGCAGACATTGTGTGAGTTTAGACCCTGAAAAAAAAATTAACATTAATTAATATTAATTATTAATTAATTATTAATTTAATAATCATTAATTAATTTGACTCACATTCTTAACTGAACCCAATTTAAAGTGTCTAACAAACCTAATCCTCATCCTAACACCCCAATCTGGTATTCTCCTTACTGTAAGGCACGAGCCCTAACCACTCTTCCACCTGACGAAAATGCACTTATTATGTTATGTTATTATTTATTTTTAATTTTGTTTCGTTTTTTATTATAAATAAATAGTTATCTATATGTACTTCATGGTCGACGGAATTGGACTGTTTGTTGAAAATATTGATTTCGATTTATATATATTATATTTATATAAAATAAACATTGTAAAATGAAGTTAATCTGGTGTAGTAATCATCGTATCGCTCTTTTTGTAAAAATAAAAAATATAAAAAATAAAACAAAATAAGGGGCAAAAAAGCAGCATATAGATGACATCACTGCACCTAAATTAAATCTGTTTTACGGTGTTCGCAAAAAGAAAGGGTTAGCTCTCATGCACATCCATCCCTGGGTTGTGTATTTCTCCACGTCACGTGACTGGTTAATCTGGAGTGTATTTCCGCGTCCACGGCAGCAGATCAGACCTGTCATCACTGACTCCCAGTGCGAGAGTGCGGGCTTTAAACCCAAGCATCCTCGCTGTTTTCATCGCCAAAGGCCTCCGGTGTCTGCCGATGTCTCTCCACCGCCGACGGGATGAACGGATTGTTGCAGGAATAGATGGATGACTGAATGAAACCTGCATCCGCTGAGGCTCTCCTCCGCTCGTCTCCATCCAACCCGTCGTCGGCCAGCGCGGTCGAGCTGGGGGGGAATCCGGGGAAAGGCAGCCGTGGTGCCGCGCAACGGCCGACGGACACGCCGCCGCCTCCGCGACGCACCGCCAACATGCTGACTCGGGTCAAGTCCGCCGTGGCCGGATTCATGGGAGGGATTATGGCCGGGGGCAGCTCCGGAGGAGGGGGAAGCCCCGGATCCGATCTTCCGCTGAAATTCCCGTATAAGAGACCGGAGTTTCTTGGCCTCTCCCCGGATGAGATCGAGTGCTCGGCGGACCACATAGCCCGGCCCATTCTCATCCTGAAGGAAACCAGGAGATTACCGTGGGCCACCGGATACGCAGAGTGAGTAAAGCCCGGCCGAAGCGGCTCTGGCTGGGGGGGTAGATAAACCCAACATATTGTGACGCCCCCTAGCTGCCCTATGGCTAATGCAACAGTGACATTAAAATGTACAGTTTAAACACCTGAACACAGAACTGCACCTGTTTTGGCCTCCGTCAGTCTAACAAAGATCTGTGTTTCTTAAACGGTGGGTGGGGGTCGGGGGGGGGGGCGTTCTGCCAATAGTGAATACAAGTAAACAAATTGGTACAGACACATATATACTGCACATACACTAAAGAGCATGAGCAGAGCACGTGTCAAACATAAGGCCCGTGGACCGCATGCAGTCCACCAAGGCATTTTGTGTGGCCCACGGGAGCTTTAAAAAAAGCATTTAATTATCTTTAAATAATATACATATAAATGTATATCTATCTATATTATATATACTGTATACAAATATATATTGATATATATAGAGAATATATAAATTACAAGTACAACAATGCATTTCCATGAGGACGAGAGATCTGCTCGTTGTGTTCAAGGACACGCATCAAAAGGTTTGTTTTCCTACACAGAGCAATGTATATGATTTGTAACTTGAATAAATAATAATTAATCGCAGAAACATACACAAAATACGGCATGTAGTAGTAACAGCTGTACAGTCTTACAGTCTTCAGCTGTTTATTTGCTCATTTGTTTGTACTGTTAACACTGCATATTTGCATAGTATAGAATATTTTCAGTTTTTTTTATTATTATTTATATCCTGCCACAGGCTTTAATCCAGCCCCAGTCCAGCTACGAACTGCAGGCTGGTTAAAGTGAAGACGAGTTCAGCCAGAGGATCAGTGTCCTCCAGCTTAGCTTCACGTGTGAGACCGCAGCATCTGGGTATTAGTCTACAACTCTGCTCTATTTATGGCTCACTGTATGTGTGTGTGTGTGTGATTGCATGTCAACAAACAGACAATCTGTAGCAGACCACACCATCGAGATGAGAAGGTTGGCCGTCTACTCCAGACTGAGCCGTGGCTGTGTTCAGTAGAACGTCGGAGAGTTAGCCGTTTTCTGTAGTTTTTTTATTTTGTCATTTCTGCCGTTATCGTTCACATTTTGTTCATAGCGGCGCGGCGTGACTCACGGGCGCTTACGTAACCATGTGGCATGTTCCGCCCGAGTAAATCTGACGTACAGTATGAAGCAGCTAGGACACTGACGTTGAGGTGACTAATTAGCATGTAACGAACACGTCTTAAAAAATTCATTTTGAGCCATCGTAACGAGCTTGTCACTTATTAGTGATTGTGGATAAACAGCAAAATATATTTAATTTTGACATTCACTCACATTAAATACTTTTTTAAATGTGTTTTCGCTCTACAGGGAGAAAAAGACGGTGAACAGAAGGTGGCGCTGTCTTGTTTTTGTTTATGTTGTTTAAGTCTTTGTTGTCGTACTTGATTCCATTTTGTTGACGTGAGAGAGTTGTCTGCGATCAGACACGACTCGGTTAAACTGTTGCTACGCAGCTGATAACGTTAGCAATTAGTCCGAGTGAAGCAGAATTAAAGATTCTGTCAATGTTGCCAGAAACTGTAATTAATTATAATTAGATTTGTTAAGATACAGTACACCGTGTTTACTTGGTAGTTGGTTTTTGTGGCACTGCCACCAACGCACACACAAATATACACACAAGTCACACAAGTGATACAAATATATCATTAATCTACACCACTTCCTGCTTCCTGACGTACAAAGTAAGTAATGACTGCGCTACAGTGATAATACAGTGCTAACTCGCTAACGTGGGCGCTAACGTGTTGGCTGTGCTTTCTCACTCGCAGCCAAACGTTGGAGACCAAGAGTAAGTGTGAAGTTTGGATTTAGTAAAAAAACAGCGATGTATCAGGTACAAGTGTAAGATCATCCATCCATTATCGTCCACTTGCAGGATTGCGGGATTGGAAGGGAGAGTGGGGGGGGGGTGGCTGGACCTAGCTATTATTGGCCGAGGGCACAACACTCAGGACAGCTCAGCCGATATTTGAGCATTTGATATTTTGTATCCGTGTCAGACATTAGGAGACGGGCCCTGCCTTTTAAACTTCAGCTGAGCCTAACAGACCATAATGAACAGAGAGACTGAGCTGATAATACAGACTGTAGGTCAGCAGGTCACGTGAGGACATGTAGAATCATCACTTATGTCTCCTGGAATGTTAGCAATCGCCCCGACCCCAGAGAGAGTCCGTTGTATTTGTTGAAAACTCCAGTAGTACGTGTGATACTCCTGAGAGTGTTTCCTGTGTCTCTCCTTCCCTTTTTCTGTGTAACCTGAGCTCACGTTTCCAAAAATGTCGATTCCTAGAAAGCAGTCGCCCGGTTTCTCTCTTGTGGATTATATTTCATGACAGAGTAAACAGACACATGAGAAGGAAAGATGAGGAAAAAACGGATCTTCCTGTAATGGCACTTGGTTTTCCTGTGGTTTGGGCCACGTGTTTATGGGCCGATACACTGCCCTTTACCTGCATTTTCTCTCTTTTTTTTTCCTCATTTCTTTCAGGAATATGTTTTTGTTAACTTAAAGTGGGTCAGAAATTTGCGGAACGTCTGCAACAAGGACCATATATTGCATCTAGTGGGCAACTAACTGCCAAAGCTGAAGTTGTTGTTCTCTGGGTAATTGTTTACAGCAGCAGAATGACGGTCCCTGACCTGACCATTGGTGCGTGTCATGTCCTAAAGAACCTGGTCATTTTGAGGTTCTGGAACCACATTTTTCATCACTTTCTGTAAGTTGTTGTCCGATAGACATAATAATAGACAATATAATGATTAATCAACTGAGATTTTAATATATATATGTATATGTGTGTACATATATGTACATGTCTAGATATATACATGTACAAATATATGTATGTGTATACATATATGTACATATATGTATGTGTGCACATATATGTATATGTGTCTAGATATATAAATGTACAAATATATGTATATGTGTATACATATGTACATATATGTATATGTGTGTAGGTATATACATGCATATATATATGTGTGTGTATATATGTACAAATATATGTATATGTGTGTACATATATGTACATATATGTGTACATATATTGTCTGAAACCCTATAGTTTTTTTTTTCCCTTCATAGCGTCGACTTCCAGAGTTACACAGTTTTGTACTTCATGCTCAGGAGCGTCTTTTCTACGACTTGTCCTTTAGGAGATTTTACGCCTTTTCATTTTTTTTTTTTTTTTGCCGTCCCCTTAGACCTTTAGCGAAGCCTAAGAATTCTTCCTGTCGTTTCTGGCCTGACTTTATTAAAAATATTTGAACGTCATTCCGTTCTTCCTCCTCCTTCGCTCTCGCAGACTCCTGCCAACACAGATGCATTACCGCAACCACTGAGAGGATATAATTGTGTTGAGCCGCTCCCTGATGGTCCTCTTACATAATATCCTATATTGATAACACAATGCTTTTATCCTTGTTTGCCCGAAGAAAAAAAAAAGAGGATTTGTATGAAAATCACCGGAGGCGTGGGTTATAGCCCCTCCAGATTGGTGATTTTTTTTTTTATTATTTATATTTGTTATTCTTCCAGAATGCAGCGTCTTTGGTGAACGTTTACAATTTTAACCGGTCTGACTCATGGAGCTAATGTTACATTAAGAGGCTTAAATAGCTGCGTTTTTTTTTTTATCTTCTGGCGCTGGAAGAAGGATGGAGGATGTGATGAAGCTGGTTTTGTAAATCTCTTCCTGAAGCTGGATCTGGATCTGAGTGTCATCTTATTATTACTGCATAGTTATAATCGATTGTACTCATTATTCAAAGTTTAAATTATAATCTCTTTGTACTTGTATAATTATGTTGGATGATCATTTCATCCAATCAGGGAAAAAAAATTTAAAAACTGTTTATATTTATGATTGAGTTTTTAATCAAATTTTCACCTGCAGTGATTTTTTGGTCTTATTGCTCCGTTCATGTTCTCAGTGGGACAGAAACGGAGCTTTGATCTTAACCATGGTTCCATCCTTGCAGCTGATTGGCCCAGAATCTGTAGCTGATGTTGGTGAAACAAAGAGTGAATTAAAGGGTTGACAATGGAGGTGAAATGAGGTTTTTGTTCCTAATGGAAGGAATTGGAATTGGAAAACAAAAAAGGAAAACTTGACCGACAGGAAAGGAAAGTCGTCGTCAGCGTTTCTGCCACCGCTCAGATAAGAACAAAGCGGAGCGTCCATCTTAATCTCACATTAGCGCTATCTGCAACGTCCATGGTGTACAATAGGAAATGAACGGTGACGATTACCGTCACAGTCGTCTGGTATCAACTTTGAATGACCTTCATGTTTTAAAAGTAATATTGATTTACTTTTTTCTGTTTGTGCCTAAGCTATTACTGGTTAAACGTTTAGTTTCTATAACAACTACAGTAAAGGTAATTAATCAGTACTAAGTTACAATTAGTGCCGTTTGGCTCCTGTTTCGGACGATATACAGGATAGTAATAAACTAATAATTGAATATGAAAAAAATCTTTTTTTTCTAATATTGTTACTGTTTTCTCTTGTTCTTTGCGGCCCCTCTTTAAGTTACATGAATGTCTCTGCGATGCTAAAGTTTGGCTACATTTTTGTGCATGTCTTTTAGCTGCAGGTAGTCACTCACCCTCACCCACGTTTTGAAACACCTGACATGGTTTTTTTTGGACAGCTTTCTTAAATAACACTCACATAAACTAGGAGTCTTTAGAGCTAACTTTGACAACTTTTTTTTTTTTTTCTAAATTCAGTTTGTCCTTCCACGATGGACAACCAATAACTTTAGTCTGCATGTTGTAGAGGCAGCTGCTCTCAACTCCCTGCCTCCCCCCCCTCCCCTCACCCTCACCCTCTCCTCTGTCTTAGATACTAAGCAGACATGTGCAGTGGACAGCTGCTCTTTTAAACAAAGGCTTCCCAGAGACTCAGCCCAAACCTCGGGCGTCTGTAAAAACAAGCCATGTTACATTTGCTGATACAAGGTTACGCAACGTGCAACGATCGTTCAATTAAAGCAGACTTCTCTTTAACAGATGTCTGTTAAAATTTTCACATTAACTTTTGAGAGCAACTCTTTTTTTTTTCTTGGGATTATCTTCCCGTCCCCGCCATCTCGTCTGTTGACCAGACAACAATGCTAGTTGCTCTCAGAACCCTCTCCCACGACCTGGGGTTATAAATAGACGTGCCCGTTTTCTCACAAACGCAGACACCTTCGACGCACAGATGTCTGGTGCTCACCGGTTCTCACTGGAGCCGCCTCACCCCGTTTCCTCACCCCGTTTCCTCACCCTCTACTAAAGTGTCTGTTACATTATCTATCATTAGCCCTCGGTGCGATCTGCTTTACTTCAGATGTTAGTGTCAGGCCGAACCTCAGCGCTGTGACCCGGGTCTTTTTGTTTGGATGTAACAGCTGTGTGTGTGTGTGTGTGTGTGTGTATCACGCATGTGTGTTGCAGGTGGCGTCTGGAAAATGTCTGGCTTTTCAGCCAGAGGCAAATACCCACGTCAGAGTACCTGCAGAGTACTGCAGTACCCTAGAATTTGTTACACTAAAGAATTTTTTTTTCTTTTTCATTGATTAATTTTGTTTTATTTCTATATAAAATATTCCAATATAGCTGTCCAAAATTTATTTTTGTATATAATTTTATCACTTTACTGCACTACTAAAGGCACTCAACATTATTGCGTATTTTTATATATAATTTTATCACTTTACTCCATAGCACACTACTAAAGGCACTCAACATTATTGCATATATGCTAAAAGCTTGCTGTTAGCAACATGTTGTTGGAAACGTGTGTTGTGTTAATGCAGTTTTTTCTTACTTTTACTAATTATTCAATAATTACATTTGTCTGGTGTGAGAAAGTTATTAACAAACACGTTTTCAGCGCTGTATATTCCCACTGAATAACTAACTTAATAACAACCTGTTAATCTGCGCTAGCTAGCTACACGTTAGCTTGAGGAGCTTCGTTATGTCTTAGAAAAAAAACATCTGTTTTCCCTGTGTAAAGACCAGTTAGTTGCCTCGAAAAACAAAGGTCATTTATTAGAAATTTTAATCTTTGACATCCTAATTTTGTTATCATAAGTTTACAGTCTGTCTTGCTAAGTCGCTTTGGAGCGAATGCTATGCTAATTTTGATTACATTTGTAGATTATTCACACCATATGTTGTGCATTTATACAGACACCTTGCATGATTGACAGCTACCGCAGCGTTTCATTAAAGCTTGGTGACAACTCTGAGTGTTATTATGATTCTTGATGCTTTAAAAAAAACTTTTTGTTATTTAAATCAGGCTGCTACGTGCATTTCTTGTGGAATAATCTCACTGGATAAAACACAGGAGCAAACCTGTGGCCGTCTACGACTGCTGTGTTCTTAAAAACATAACAGTTTATTTCACAGGAAGTGTCTTACGCAATCCAGTTCCTGACCACAGCTATCATTGTGGACAAGCATAATCAAGCTGTTGATTTCAGCAAAAAACAAAAACAAAAATGTTCTCAGCCCCAAATGATTTATTACGGGAGGGGGCATGAAATGTGACTGGGCTTGTATTTACACAGTGTTCCTGTTTGTCCTGCTCTCACAGGGTGATTAACGCAGGTAAGAGTGCACTGAACGAGGACCAGGCGTGCTGCACCGTGGTAGTGGCCAGGAGGAGGCCGATGAGCTACTGCCCTCAGTCCACGCCCAGTAAAACCCCCACCGCCAAGAGGCGCAGCTCTCTGCCAAATGGAGAGCCTCTAGGGCTCCACCTGCAGCACAAGCTGGAGGAAGTGAGTAAACACACACACACCGACACACACACACCAATACACACACACAGTCCAGTACAGTTTGTGCAATAAATGTGTGCACCTGAGAAAAGAGTAACAAAAGTGCTAATGCTAAAAAAGTTCAAATTAGGGATCTCCGATAATATCGCCCGACTAATATTATCGGCCCAATATTAGCATAATTATGTAATATTTGTAAGAATTGTTATCAGTTTTTCCTCCGATAATGAAAACCATGTGCCCTCAAAAAATTAGTTTTGGGGAAAAAAGCCTGTAGATGAAAGTGAAAGTCACTAGATGGCAGCATTACAGCTCATTTTGATAATCAGGGTACATCCCTAAATATGATTAAATATTTATTTATTATGTCGCTCTGTATAAATAACGTGTGTATAATTGTGTCCACAGGATAATGAAGGGGTCGTGTTCCACTACTGGGCCTTGTTTGATGGTCACGCTGGTTCTGGTGCGGCTGTCGTTGCGTCGCGCCTGCTGCAGCACCACATCGCCTGTCAGCTCCAGGCCGTGATCGAGATTTTGCACAACCCGTCATCTTACCCCCCCACTGTGCTGGGCGAAGAGCCCGACAGCAACCCCTACCTCCAGGGAAACACCCCCGGCCCTCACCGCTCGCTCACCAGGGCGGCCTCGCTGCGGGGGGCCACAGGGGCGCCCGGTTCGCCCAGCAGCACGCCGCCACCGCCTCGTTTCTTCATAGAGAAGAAGGTCCAGCACGAAAGCCTGGTGATTGGTGCTATAGAGAACGCCTTCAAAGAAATGGTGAGATCGCACCCATTCTCAGATTAACGTGTTTTTTTTTTTCTTCAGTAATTTTATTTGGTGTTAACAGCTATTGTTAAAAGCTGTTTTGGATTCAAGAAAAATATTTTTAATCTAGGCGCGGCCGTGCAGCAGCCTCAGGAGAGAGGGTGATGCTGTACGAGGCATAAAGCACACAAACACAGCAGAGATAAAAATAAACACGAAGTCTAACAAGAGGGATTGGGCTTTGTAGTTTTTTTTGTACTTAACCTGTTGATATATATATATATACACATATATATATATATATATATATATGTGTGTATATATATATATACACATATATATATATATATTTGTAAAAATATATATATTTACTTTCACATTTGTACTGATACAACACTGATAAACAAATCAAGCAACATAGGAATTTCAGGGACCAGGTTTAGGTTGGAAATTAAGATGTATATATATGTATATGTATATATGTATATGTATATGTATAGAATAGAAAGCCTTTATTGTCATTATACAAGGTACAACGAGATACATACATATATATATGTATATATATATATATACATACATATGTGTATATATACATATATATATATTTTTATATATATATGCTAGTATAATGTTGTTGGTAGTTGTAGCCGTTGAAGTCACTTTGATTTGTAATTTAATAGTTTAATCTGCTTTAATCGTCCTCTGACTGCTGTGTCATTTTAATGGCCGTGGGTGTGACTTCCAGGAAATTGTACGAGTTCTTCTTCTCTTCTTTTCCTTATCAGAGTTTTAGTTGAACAATTTTTAAAATCAGAAAAAAAATCAGTTTTTACTTTTACGACCAATCCCGAGTCGTGGTCTTTAAATGGGTGTGTGCGGTTCTTGGACCACATCAAATGTGGCTTAGGTTTGGTTTGATGATCTCGTAGTTATACAAAAATCAAAAGTCTTTAAAAACTCCATCAGCTTCTCATTGCAAAGACATTGAAAAAAGGACAAAAAACTCCCGAAATTTTCTCACCATATATTCTAAAAATATTTTTACAAATGCTTAACCACGTTACTTAGTGTTTCCTTTATTACATTTCCTGATCAAACTGTGTTAAATATTTATGGCTATCGAGTGTTTTTGAATCGTAAACATTTCCCTATTTTTCTGTAATTGATGTAATATAATTGGTTCTTATTATACAATTAAGGGAAACAGCACTGAAAATGACAAATGAAATCTAATGCATGAGTACATATAGAAACTCTGAATACGGCCACTAGATGGCAATGGAAAGCAATGCTTATGATAAAGAATGTGGTTGAAACCAGAGTAGAAAAAAAAAGAAACAGAAAACACTGTTCCTATCACCCTACAGCCACCTTGTCCTCACCCCAAACTACCTCTCTCTCTCTCTCTCTCTCTCTCTCTCTCAGCACGCTCATATTGAGGGAGAAACAAGTTTACAACATCTCAGGAGGATGTACGGCCCTCACTGTGGTCTACCTGCTGGGGAAACTCTATGTGGGGAACGCAGGTGACAGCAGGTGCGTGACTAAATGACTAAATGTAGGGTCGAACACAGCGCCTCCCGGTGGGGGTGGGGTGGGGGCGAGTCCAAAGACGTCTGTTTAATAGCAGTGGATCAACATGCTGAGGCAGAGATGGAGGAGGTTCAGCTCACTCCTCTGCCTCGGTCTGTTGAACATTATGTCACTTATACATTCAGCTGGGTGTGTGTGTGTGTGTGTGTGTGTGTCTGCAGGGCTGTCATTATTAGAAACAACGAGATCATCCCCGTGTCAACAGAGTTCACGCCGGAGTCAGAGCGACAGCGACTTCAGTTCTTGGTAAAAAAAAACACACACACACACACACACACACACACACACACACCTATGTGACATTCATTATGTGACCTGGATTATACAGAGTAATTAAAACTAATTACTACTTTCTCCTTTCGTTGTAATCATTAACCACAGTAGGTAGTTCACTGTTAATATGTTTCTAGTTATTACCACTAACTTAGTGCTGTTATATACATACATACATACATATATATATATATATATATGTATTTTTTTTATTAACTATGGCTTATTTTAAGGCTAAATTTTGAGCCAACAATTAGCTATCGATCCTAACACTAATTATTAAGTTTGTACATTTTTGCTAGTTATTATCCAGCTCTTTTGTTCTCACGGTCGTTAGAGTTTAATTGCACCTGATTAATAAAATATTATATATATAATATTTTTTTTCAGTAAAATTGTACTTACTTATAATTGAGCTGATCATCATTTTGGATCATTTTCTTCAATTTTCTTGTCAACTTTTAGCTGTTTGTAAATAAGTCTTAGCCTCTTTGAGCTTAGCTTTACGACACGTTTGGGTATTCCCAAGTAACTGTTAGCTATTTTTAGCTAAAGGCATTTTACTTGCCACAACGACCTAATTATTTTTTTAATGTTTAATTAGCATTTGGCTCTCTCTCAGCTTAGTTTAGTTAGTGTCATTTCTAAGCTAACATGCAGTTGCTCAACTTGTGTCAGTTGCTCTACAAAGTGAGGAAACCAACGGAAATTTTACATTTTACAAGGGCATTAAATGCCTCATCGTGGAGATTCAATCCATGTTCATTTAAGTAATGCTAAATATATAAAAACAACTAAATGGCGTTGCACCATGGATCATGAACGGAAGAGTACATAGAAACTACTTCCTTTTTCATTATGAGTTTTATTATAACTTCAAGGTTGCTTATTATATCAGCCAGGTTTTACAGGGTGGTTTTTCACAAGCACTTCCTTCGAACCAAACTCTCTCTACACACTGTATCTGACCTTATTTTTAATTCTGTCACAAAATTCCTGATACTATTAAGCCCAACACTGACATACCAAAGACAAAAATCAACTTTCATTCTATCAGCAAACCAAAAGCCTCACATCACTGTTCCTCCTCCAGGGTTTCATGCAGCCCCACCTGTTAGGGAACGAGTTCACGCACCTGGAATTTCCCAGGAGAGTTCAGAGAAAGGAGGTGGGCAAGAGGATGCTCTACAGAGACTTCACCATGAACGGCTGGTGAGTCCGCCATCAACCTTTCATTTTTTCTTTTTTTTTTTTTTTTTGACCCTTCCCCCAGTTGAGAATAACAGCCTTCCTTTAGAATACATGGCAAATTATGAGTCAGACGACCCACTCTCTACATAAATCCACAGAAAATTAAGGTTGTGCAGATTTTAAAAACGTTGGTCGTGTAGACGTTGAGTGGATCCGAGCCTCACCCACACCGTCCTCCTCCCGTCACTGTGGCAGCTGCAGAGACTCGTCCACAGTGTGAGAGCTAACGAGGAGGCAGGCCAACCTCCAACCGTCTAATGACACAGCAGAGATGGTCCTGTATGCGCAGTGTTATGTGGGTGAGCCAGCCACTGTGTGCTGCTTAATTGTGGCTGCAGGGAAAGCTGATAATGAGATGTGCTGTTACAGACACACTCTGTCTGACACTCTGGGACACATCCGGCACTGTGTGTGATGTATATTTCACAGTAAGGCTGCCCCCCCCCTCCCCCGCGACTCCCCTCCCTCTGGAGCCACCATATGGACTGCAGTTCTAATTTCTCCAAGCACACAACCAAGGACGTTGTTTCCAAGTTTCATCCACATATGATTTTATTACAACATTTTATCGCTGCGTGTACCCGGTGTAGCCATTGTCCGCGCACCGGTGACCACAACTGTCTTTAAATGGCAATTACAAGTTTTAATGCTAGCGTCCCTTTCCGGACACAACAGAAAGACCAGTAGAGGAGACGTGGGTCTGTAGAGTTACCCATTTCTGACATGCTACTGAGTTTTGCCCACACCAGTTAGCGTCCTAGCCAAGTATGCTAACGTGCACGGGACTCAAGGGCAGTTGACATCATCAGATTCAAACCAGAAACCCTTATGTTGAAGTGAGCTCGTAAATCTACGGGCCGCTCGTGGGTGGATTTTGGGCCAAAAGTGGCCCGCGAGCCAGGAGTTTAAGACCCATGGACTTATGGACTTTGTCTGTTTAATTTGTACTCAAAACCGGAAACTTCTGCATTTCGCTTTATTTTAGACAATCGTGCTACAACATCATTACATAAGCCACACACACTAAATGCCACCATGCATCAAAGGGAAGCTTTTAGTGACTTTTTTTTTTTTTTTTAAATCAAAGCTCTTTTTTTTGTTGTTTTTTTTATAGTCCTGGTTGAACCTTGTTATCAAAGTTCTCTGCTTCAGGGGCGACCTGGGTTACATTTTGATGTAGCTGCACAATATCTCTAAAAGAGGAGCTAAGACACTGTAATGACTCTGCCTACAGCCACTGTGGCTTGTTTACAAAAGCAAACTACAGTTGCTGTGCCTTTGGGCATGACACTGCTCATCTGGACCTCTTTAAGAGCCAGACTGCTTTTTGTATTCTTCCCATGCCCTGGGTGCAGATATGTGTGTGTGTGTGTGTTTGAGTATACTTGGAAAGAGAGGCCATAAAAGCTCACCTTGAAAAAGAAAAGGGTTAGAGAAAATGAGTACTGTCATTCAGCGGCCTCCTCTCCTTCTAGAGGAAACAGAGGAACGATAATTTAATGTGTATGTTGAAGTGAGCTCGTAAATCTACGGGCCGCTCGTGGGTGGATTTTGGGCCAAAAGTGGCCCGCGAGCCAGGAGTTTAAGACCCATGGACTTATGGACTTTGTCTGTTTAATTTGTACTCAAAACCGGAAACTTCTGCATTTCGCTTTATTTTAGACAATCGTGCTACAACATCATTACATAAGCCACACACACTAAATGCCACCATGCATCAAAGGGAAGCTTTTAGTGACTTTTTTTTTTTTAAATCAAAGCTCTTGTTTTTTGTTGTTTTTTTTTTATAGTCCTGGTTGAACCTTGTTATCAAAGTTCTCTGCTTCAGGGGCGACCTGGGTTACATTTTGATGTAGCTGCACAATATCTCTAAAAGAGGAGCTAAGACACTGTAATGACTCTGCCTACAGCCACTGTGGCTTGTTTACAAAAGCAAACTACAGTTGCTGTGCCTTTGGGCATGACACTGCTCATCTGGACCTCTTTAAGAGCCAGACTGCTTTTTGTATTCTTCCCATGCCCTGGGTGCAGATATGTGTGTGTGTGTGTGTTTGAGTATACTTGGAAAGAGAGGCCATAAAAGCTCACCTTGAAAAAGAAAAGGGTTAGAGAAAATGAGTACTGTCATTCAGCGGCCTCCTCTCCTTCTAGAGGAAACAGAGGAACGATAATTTAATGTGTGTGACTCATCGCTGGCTCTCTTTGTCCTGATGAGAGGGAGCGACGTTTCGACGAGTTGGTGGGGTCGGTGGCGTGGTGACGCGCCTGCGCTGTGAATGTTGCAGAGTGGAGGTGCATCAAAGTTCGGCCAAAAGAATACAGTTTAGTTTTCACATACAGCGATGCAGTCTAGCACAGAGATCAAACGCCGGTCGCTTAAAAATCTGTTTGAAGTTGGTGCGCGGTTCTTCGTGGAGTTTTTCACATTCTGACATCAAAGTTACATTTTTAAGTGCCTTTCAGATCTTTGTGCATGTCTGAGCTTAATTTTCTGTTGTTTTGAGAGTGCAGTAGACGAAAGCCTCTCCCCTTTTGCCCCGTTGGAGCACAATGGAGCAAACTTTTCTTTTCCTGGTAAAAAAAAGTTCATCAAGATTATGACCTGATTCCAAGAACAACCAAGCGAACAATTAACTTGGTTCTTGTCCAGAATTCCTCACCTGAAGCAAATGAGACACTGCATTCTGGATAGAGCTAGCACTTCCACGGTTGCTAAACAGGTGCAGTCAGATACTGTGCGAAGACTGGCGTTACACCAAGGTTCTCCTTCACGCATAGATGGTGTATAATCTTCCAATTAGATCTGTTTTGAATATTTGCCTAAAAATGTTTAGAGTTTTGAAACAGTGCTGAATGTGGATTTACCAGAAGGTTGGAGTAGGAAGGCCACCGCGTCTTTAATCAGTGGTGCCCAACCTTTTTCGTACCAAGGGCCGGTCAACGGGTAATGCCCTAGATCAGGGGTGTCAAACATATGGCCTGGGGGCCAAAACCGGCCCACTGGGGTGTTCGATCCGGCCCACGTGATGAATTTTAAAAATAAAGAAAAAATTAAAAACACTTCATGTATTATAGGATATTTTTTGCAAAACTTATATTTCATTAAATATGAATAAATAATAATAAATAGCTAATATACTTGTACTTGTTTGCATGAAAACAAAGGGGAAAAACATGGACTCTTCGTTATTTATAGTTAATTATGTTATGGTCCGGGCCAATTGACATCTAATTAGGTTGTATGCGGCCGCTGAATCAAAATTAGTTTGACACCCCTGACCTAGACCACCGAGATGGACCATTAGGGATTAGGGACTTCTGTCTTTAATGAAGCAGAGTCTTTGGAAGCTCAATCATTCAATCATGAATATTTATGCCAAAATGCATGGTACAAATATGACTGGTGAGAAGAGTCAGTTAGTGAATAACATCATAAAATCTAACAATAATAATAATAAAAACTTTATTGATCCCACATTGGGGAAATTGCATCCTGTCGCAGAAGAAGCCCAACGAGTGGTGCCAAGTATGTGGGTCCTCTGGGGCTCGAACCCAGAACCTACTGCATGTAAGGCAGATGTGTAAGCAGGTGTGATAACAGCTACACTATGGAAGTCATTTTGGATAGATATGTTCAGAAGTTATTTGTGTAGCTACCCCCCACTGGTTAGCATGGTTAGCAGTCATACTTTTGGAATGGTCAGAATGATCGTCTGTTTCCGTTTAGTCTTTTGAGTCGCGACATCACTGGTGTAGGGACTGTTGAACTCCTCACAAAACATAATAAACAGTACGTGTGTGTGTGTGTCCTTAACCCTCCCTCCGTCCTCACAAACAGGGCTTACAAGACCCTCGAAGACGAAGACCTCAAGTTCCCGCTGGTATACGGCGAAGGGAAAAAGGTGAGTGTAGTTGCACGTGTTTGTGTCCGTTTCTGTAAACCCTCGCTGGGAAGTAGTGGGTCCATCTGTTTTAAGTCAGCGGCTTTGTCTCACAAACGCGGACGCACAAAGACACGCTCCACATGGGAGATGATAGTTGTCCCTTTGAGAAGGAGGGAAGGTAATTTCCAGTGGGACAGCGGTGGAGAAAATGAAAGGGAGTGGCTGAAACCCGAAACTCTCCGTCAGATAAATTACCAAAAAACGCTCTGGGGTTCCAACCCGTGCTTCATACGTTCAGTCGATTCTGGACGCCAAGAAATGCAACAGGTCTTCCTCAGAAGTTTCTCTGAGCCATTAAAGAGCCAAGGAAGTATATTCCCAAAGTGACTTTTAAGGTCAAACGACCTCGAAACACGAACAACAGTTATATCATTAACATATCAATTGACTGACGAGGAAGCTAACCGTTTGTGGTGTGGAGCACTGGGAACAAATCCAAGGCTGCAGTAAATATAAAGGAAAACAGTTTGTGCGATGAGGAGTGGTGCTGCTGAGAACAGCACGCGGTGAAGAACAACAGCTCTACCTGGAAACTGTCTCCGTTTTTCTGATGGTCTGATTCCAGTCCTGACATTTATTTACTCCTGATGGTTTAACCAGATGTTAGATTTCCACTGCTGTCAAACAGCACCACCACCACCAGCAGCAGCAACTCAAACATCTCTGTATCTAAATTTATCCACTGCATTGGAAGACAAACGTTCACCACCGCCGAAAAATCACTCCTTATTCCCTACTCCTTACCGACTCCTTCAGTGTCAAATCTATGTAGTGTGTCTGGAGCAAGGGACGTACTACAGTTTATGCTTCTTTGAACAAAAAAAGGGACGTGTGGAAAATCATTGGATGCTGTGCAGGCAGTGTTATCAAGACAACAGGACCAGCCATGAAAATGTCAAAATCTGATGAACCTCAGTTTGTATCTCAGTGTGGCCTTATGAAAACAAAGGGGGAAAAGAAAGAAATCTGGCAACGATCCAGCGACGTTCGCTGTCGCCAGAGCTTAAATGGAATTAATGGAAGTTTAGCTGCCAAAAAATTTCCATTTCCAAAGAGGGGCCTCAGAATTAAATGGCTAAAATATGGACAATTACTATATGACTCGACCAAAGATCGATTTGCAGGGGATTCACAGAGTCTTGTAAATGCCTTGGTTCAAAATTCCATCCAAACGTCAGAACTTTTGTGCCTTGATTGACGTGTTGAAGAGGCGCTTGTGACGGGGCTGAACTTTAACAGGATACGTTGGAAAACCAATCAAAACTGATGTTAAGTGAGGTTTGGGATTTTGACCGATTTCTGGGTAAAAATGTAAGGAATACTTTACAAACATAAAAACGAACATAGAGATGATTTAGAAATTAAAGATTTTTTTTTTTTTTTTTAAACAGGCTCGGGTGTTGGCCACTATCGGCGTAACTCGCGGACTCGGTGACCATGATCTTAAGGTTCATGATTCCAACATTTACATCAAGCCGTTCCTTTCCTGTTGCCCAGAGGTAAGTTCTACTGACTTAATCTTTTTATTTAAACTTTTTTATTTGACATAATGTCGTGTTAATAACGTGACAATGACAAAACCGACTTCAGCAGAAGAGCGAGTTGAGTCAGTTGAATAGAGTCTGGGAAACAGTTAACAGTGGCTCCTGGAAATACTTTTTCTCAGTACGTTGCTTGCTCTACACTCACAAATGAAGTGGAATACGTTTTTATAAGCAACGCTGCCAACACTTGATTTGTTGTGAGTTATGTCAGGGGGGAGGATTATAGTTTGATGAAGCATTACATTCTCTCTCTCTCTCGCTCTCTCGCTCTCTGTAGCTGTATCCTGGTAAATATAAATATCTCCCATTACTGGAAAAACAGGTGACAGAAAGATACAGGTAGGAAGGAGGTGAGGGGGGTGACCTGTCACTGGAGTACTGGCTACAGTATATACTATGACTTAGTACAACACTATAGTGTAACTTATTGTACAATTGTACGCCTGAATCTGACCTCTGACCTCAGCCAAAATGACCCAAAGACAGGCTACAGCTGGTTCACTGAAGGCTGAGACTTTGAACGTTTTTTTCTTTCTTTCTTTCTTTCCTCCTCCTGTCTACTGTTAGTCTCCTGAGCAGGTTCTCTCTCCAGACATCGATCATATTCACTTTTATCCCCCTCAAACCTGCACCACAGTCCCCAAAAGGAGCTGCATTTTCCTCCCTCTCCGTCTGAAGCAGGTCCCCTGACGCAGGAACACTCCAGCTCTGTCTGTCTGACTGACTGACTGTCTGTCTGTCTGTCTGTCTGTCTG